ATGAAGCACCCAGGGTTCTCAATACTACCAGCTTGAGTAAGCAGCAAAACGTAAAGAATATGTGGGGATCATCAAGCAAACTTATCTCACGTTATCCTAAATTTTGGGGAAATTCAATCAAAATAGGAGACAAGTTCATGTAAAATACCCAGCAAGATTTTCCAGTTGCCAGCTTCTATAGCGCAGCACAACCGTGACGTCATAAAAATGAAGACAAAGGCGAAATTCAGACAAACAAACTTACAAGTTTATTTTTAGAATCAGTGCGCTGTGCTATTATAATCCTGAGCACCCTGGTTGTATAACACCACTTGAGACCTAGATTTGTTCCTTGCTGAACCCAGTGTTGCATGTAGACTTGCTATTTCAATTCTCTCCTGTACTTCAGTCAAGTATTCTAAATCCAAATTTAAATTTGGTGAATAAAGAACCACATTGTGGAATACGGCATCACTGCTGAATTCTATTTATCTTTATTTACGCAAGCAAACTGGTTAGAGCTGTGCTTCGGGGTCATACATGGACTGTATAGTGGCTGTCAGAGTTGCCTTCACATGCTTTCAGTTCGACTGTTACTTGCGGCAGTGTTTAGTTTTGACCAGGTTTTTTTGGCCATTAATCATGACAATAATGAATTAATAATAGATTATGATTTATATAGCGCTAATATCCCCATGGTCCAACGGCACTTTACAAAAAGATCTGAAAAAAACATTAAAAATATAACTATATTGGTATTTAGTGTGGTTTAGTGGTGTACATTAAAATCTTTAAACAATAATTACAAACAACTTTTATAGATACATACATATTTGATAGACATTTTTTTACATAAAATTAGGAATCAATGATTGGAATAACTTTTAACATTAATTGGCTTTTACAAAAGAATGACCAGCTGTTATTGGAAGTCTTTAAATTCATTTTTTATAATAACAGTAACAGTTGGAATGTATTAATATCTGATTGTTGTAAATACAGGGCAGTAGAAACGTTCATCAGGAATAAATATGAACACAAGAAATATGCTAAGAAAGATGGGATGCCCCCAAAGGCAATTGTACAGGAGAGCACATCCATTGCAACAAAGGTCAACAAACCAGAAAAGGTAGGTTGGAAAGTTACATTTATTGAAAGTTGTAGTGGGCAATCCTTAGAGGCAATGTTTCACACAGACATCTGACAGACAATACTAAAATACTAAAAATAATTAACCTTACTTTATTTCATTGACATTTAATTTCTTTTAAATACTAATATAAAATTAGTTTTAGATAGAAAAGTTCCAAGTACTATAAGTGAAGGCATTTAACCCGTGAAATAAATACTAGTTAATAGTCAAAGAGACACAAAAGAAAACAATTGAATTAGTATCTACTAAAGTGTATTAGTCTAATATCTATTGCACAGGTTTAATGTCTTTACTCTACTACTGTAATACTAAAATCACTAAACCTTAATTATTCATCAACATTTATACTTTTTTTTATTAATACTTAGTTTTAGATAGAAAAGTTCCTAGTGTTCTCAAGTTAACAATATTTATATGAATGTCATTAAGCTTTAAAAGTTCATTGAAATTTTAACTTGACCATACATCTTCATTAATTTAGTACTCAGCCTTTTAACATATGAAGTAGCTAATCTTAAGTGGTTTGCGTAATTAATAGTCTAATTAATTATGCTGTCAGCACCTCATACTTGCCACTTGGTGTTATTATAAACTGTGTACATATATATAGCCATCTGTACCTTGACCCTTTCGCTGCCATTGTAGACTCGAGTCGACCTACCCATACGCTGCCAGAGGCAACTCTAGTCTACTAACAAATGCTTGCTGAATAAACCAATTATAACTAATGTTTTAATCAACCAATGAGTAAGCGTGTTAGTTTACGATTAGTTGGAATGTTGTTCCCCCATTTTGAATTTGATTTTGAGGGTGGATCCGGGGGGTGAATTGGGTGACTGGTCAACTCCCTTTGGAGTTAAAAATAATAAGAATAAAGGATAAGGTATGACCTATATAAATGAATTATATGTGATACCTTTCTAGGTAACAGTCACCCCCTTGAAATCGTTCTAGATCCGCCACTGCTGTCATCATTTATCATAATCATATTAAAAACATTATTAGAATATTGTAAATTTCAGCATCAGGATTTTTGATTTTTTTTTATCCCAGATTTTACGAACCTTGATTTAAAATCATGTTTATTTATGTGTAAATTGATGTGATCAATATTTTATCAGGTTGTTAAGAAAAAGAAACTAATAGATGAGCAAAATGGTATTTCTGTAACAGCACAGGCACTCAGTGACAAGGTAGTATTGTTGCACTTGTAAAATAGATAAATATATAAATAAAATAACACTATAACTTATGTGATACTTGCATGAAAATCACAGTTTACATAGGCTAAAATCTATTTTTAAAATGTGCTCTATGTTTCAAAGGGAAGTACAGTGGAACGTGGTTAATACTGCCACCAAAGGTACAGGCCAAAGTGGCCATATTAGCCGGGTGTCCTTATTAAGCAGGCTCTTGAAATATGCATCACAAATGATTGTTTTATAAATGGTGCAATAAATAAAGTACAGTACCAAGTAATTATGCAAGTATACGATTTTAAAAATACTTTTAAAATAACTTAACTGCAACTCAACTAACTACAAACCTTAAAAAACACAAAGGATAGAACACAGTGTTGTCAATTACAGCACAACGTGCAAAAGTACGTACCTTTTACAATGCAAAGCTGCCTGGTTTTACCATACAAAGCATGTAAAAGGTATTGACCACAAAAAGCCTGTGCATAAAAGTACTAGTATGGGGAATGCATTAAATTTACTTTTGTGCGTAATGCCGCAATATATTACACTATTGTGTTCCTAGTTAATTAGTGAAATTAAAATAGCATTTAGGCTGTAAAAAGCTCAGTTAGCACCTGATGGTTACAATAGACCTCCTTGGCTCAGGCGTAATGTTTTCCCATTTCAGACCACATGTCATTCCCTAGAGTATCATTTCTTTGTTTAATGGTACTGCTTGGTTGCACATGAGAAGACACATGAATATGGATACAACTCAAACAAAGAATCTTATTCTCAAGGGAATGACACGTGGTCTGTGGGAAAACATTATGCCCAAGTCAAGGAGGTCTATTGAAAATTTGATCGAAAATAGACAGCATAGATAACTAGTGTCTGTAACATAAGGGCCTTTTAGGTTAGCTTTATAGGGTAGCCTGTCAATCAGGTCGCATACTACCTGGTGTCTGTATTAAACATGTAAATGTAATAGAAACCTGATGGGTATTTGGTTGGGATCTACAAAACTGCCGTTAACAACTGGGTGGCAGTAGTAATTGGGTGGCTGTAGAGTGGGGTTCCACTGTTCAAAATCTTTTTAAGGTATACAGGTAGATGTAATATGGTGCAATGTGCCAAAGGGGAAATTTTGCACATTAGTAGAGCCTTCTCATGTTTGATGATTCTGATCTATCCTTAACCTGTTAAAGATTAATGAACAGATGGTTAGTTCATGAATAGATTCTGAAGGATGGGATTGCTAAGAAGGGAAATATTAATGACAAATTAATTGCTGGCATAACAGGTTGTTGCACCATCCAGAACGACAGCTCCTGTATCCAGGCCGAAACCTCGGGTCACAGCCACTGCACCTCCTGCTGTCCAATCAAGCGCACCTTCTGTGGATTTACTATCGCTGGATACACCAGCCCCTGTTGCAAACCAGACCCAGAATCCTGTGATGCAAATTCCAAACTCTTCTCCATCTGCTGAGGTAACAAACCTGCAGGGATTGATTCTATTGCTACCTGCTTTTACACAAATCGACTAATAATTTGATTGGTTTAAATTTTTTGCATAATCTTCTGTTTCTGGTTCTCTGATTTTACAGTTGTTTGAAATTTGAACACTTTAGCATACACATCAGAGGGTCTCGCTAAATTGCTCATTTTTTTCAGAATGTTACTCACAGACAAATAAACTCTTCCATAAACAATGTATAGATAAGCTTGATTGAATTTCTTTTGAAGAAAAAAAACGGTTTGAATTTCTACTGAAAGTCAGAATAAGTGTAGCATGTACATATCCGACCACATCTGGGTCATCTGTTTTGGATTTTACCAGAGCCATCGATTTTTTGGTGAGAAGGGTCTGCATACGGGAATGGAGTTTATATGAAAGAAAATTGGAATTTCTGGGGATGGAAGATTAAAAAATTCCTATGTGGGGGTGGGTGGGGGTAATGGATAATTACTGGAACTATGCATTTCTTTCTATTGCTTAATATCAATCTAAATTAGATCAATCTCAATTGATAAAACATGACTTTTTGCAGCTGACTGGGGGGCAAAAAATAGTTAAAACATGTCAAAACGAGTGTTCAAAGTATTTTATCTATTTCTACTGCCAGAAACCAGAAATCAAGATACACATACATGTACAACCTCCAATACCCTCCAAGCTTACGAATGTTAAATGCTCCCCAGTCAAAGCACAGATATTACTAGAAATGACGTCTATTGATAGTAAAGAATTGTCAAATACTAATACTCTTCATATTTCTACATCCTGATTTCATGATCATTTTCTTCAATGTGCTTTTTCTTGGATCTTTGAAATTTCTTGAGTGGATCCTTAAAATTCATACTAGTACCTTCTTATCGTTATTCCAATTTGTCATTGCTTTTGCTGTTTTTTTCCTTCTTTTTCTAAGTCTTAGCTTTTCTCTTCCACCTTTTTCTAATTGTTTAAGCATTTTGGCTTTTCACTTACCTTTGCTCCTAAAAACTTTGTTCTTAGTGCCTTATTCCTTTTTTTTGTTTTGTTTTCACCATTTTTTAGTTGATTGATTTTGGGGCTTTCCAAGGAGCACCCCAGATTTTAAGTCAGTCTCCGCCATCACAACCACAACAGGTAATAAAGGTCATACATACAAGGAAAATAAGTTTATCATGCAAGAAGTTTCAGCTTTGAAAATCAACCCCAAATTCTGTTAAATGTCAAAGTTTGAGGAGTTTCATGATATTTATTTCATCAAGCTTGAGGCAGCCTTCTTTAATTTGTTACTCGTAACGGGGAGTAAATGAGAAAAAGTATGAAGGACATCATTGAAAACACTAATGACAGCTTTGAGAAACTTTATTTATAAATAATTTAATGATTTCACATTATGTCTTTAAATGCTACTTATCAGTTTATGTCATGCTTTTTTATTTTTTTGTTTTCTTTACAGTTGGCCAGTATGACTCAGTCTGCTCCACCAGTAGATAATGAAGAATCACTTTTAAAAGATGACAACACAACAAAGAAGTCAACTAAAGGTCTACAAACTTGTACTGCAATCATAAGCCAGATTTCATGCTAACCTTTTGTAATAATTATGGCCCAAGATCCAAGAAAATGATCCTTTTTGCTCTGTTACAGTACCTGTATTATGCCTACATGGAGTAGGACTATTCCATGAACCATACATATAAAACTTGTTTATGGAGCTGACTAGTTGTAATTTCACAGGACCCCTATAGATGCAAGCCAAGATGCCTAAAGAGCACCCTTCCTAAATAAAGTTGACAATATCATATATTTCTTTCTTTGTGATAATGATAATGTGTTGTAATGAATGTATTGTTTAACTGTTTGATTGCAGACAGTATAATGGCTCTGTACACTGGAGGTGGAAGTACTGCAGCACAACAGCCCCACATGTATGGCGTCCCTGGTGGAATGTACCTTCAACAACAGCCTCAAATGCACAAGACCCCAGCCAATGTGTATAAGAGTCCTTTACAGACACCATATCATCCACAGCCTCATGTTATGCCAATGCATATGCAACAGCACTTGATGCAACACCCAACACCACATCAACAGCAAGCACAGGTAGGTTATGCATGTGACAAAATAACCAGGGAAGGGGTGGAGATAGAGCAGTCCTCTACAGACACCATATCACCCACAGCCGTATGTTATGCTTATGCATGCACAGCATCACATCTTTTAAGTTAAAATTAAACTGCAACATAATCAGTCTGATACCATTTTAAGGCATCCTTTTTTAATTTTGAGAAGAAAGAAATAATACTTTTAGAGAAGTGAAATAATACTTTTTGGGAAGCACCGGTGGCGTGTGCTGCTAATGCGCCACCTCTCACCAATGCGACCCGAGTTTGAGTCCTGCCAGTCTCGGTGTCGTATGTGAGTAGAGTTGTTTGTTGGTTCTCTCCTGTGCTTCAAGGGTTTTCTCCRGGTTCTCCGGTTTTCCTCCCTCCTCAAAAATCAACTTCTAAATTCTAATTTGATCTTTGGGCTTTCACCTAGTTTGGGGCCTAGCTCTGTTGTGATTGTCCCACGCTGTGATACAACAGCGAAAAGCTTTGTAGAATGATATACAGGCTAAATCAGGAAAGCTATTGGTGAAAAGTGCCATCTTGGAGAAGTTCTTATGGAGTGATTTGTTGATTTGTTCCTTTGTAGTTGTCACAAATTCAACAGCAAATGCAACAGCTCAAAGTCCAGAAAAACCAGCAAATGCCGCCATTCCCACAACAACAGCAGCAGTCACATCAACAACCCAACATGTATGGCAATAATACTATGTTCACCCAACAACACGCTATGAAGAATATAATGACACAGCAACAGTCCATGCACTACCAAAAACAGCAGCAACCACAGTTCATTAGCACTGGTCCCAGTACAAATATGTTTCCAATGAATGGAATGCCTTCATCAGGGCACACCTTTAACAACCAACTATGGAAATGAAACAAATGGCAACACACACTATCCTCCTTTGACTTTGATCTTCAGATCAACCACAATATCTCAAGAAGTATAGAGGAATCTGGTATGGAAGTTATTGAAGAACTTTGGCCAGAATTTCCTGTACTTAACTAGTCATGTTCCTAAAGAAATGTATGTAGAGATGATACGTAGTACCATATCAGTCACTAGTCTGCCATGTGGGATGCTGTGAATTACTGATGTACCTCAAATACCAATGAAATTACAAACCATGAAGCAGACAGACTTGAATCAGGGTCCCGTTATACGTTGTACAATCCAACAGACAAATCCTTATCCAGTGGATAAGTTGATGCTGTTATCCAATAAATTTTCCACTGGATAAGATTCATTCTTCGGATAACGCTGTCCACCAGCATAGACTAGAGGCTAGAGGTTCAAGCTGAGTTCTGATGTGGTGATTGTAGATTTATTACTTGGAGTTTCCTACTCCTAATCAAGATTATGTTTATATAACCTCCCTTACATGGCAGACTCCTGATACTTTTAAGTAAAAATGATCAATAGAAATACTGTAAACGTTCAAAAATATACCTGTTATCACAGGATTTTGTTCTGCATCCAAAAAGGCACATTGCGCAAACATAAGCCCAGGGTTTATTTTAGGAGATTTACCATTGTTAAATGCCATTAGATGTGGAACAAGTGATTGAGGTCCTGTTCTTGAACTTGATGTTTGGGAATCCAACCCCATTTGGAACAGGGTCATAGTCCAATATTTTGTTCCTCAAATGTACAGAATGTGAAATCATACAGTTCCTAATGAATCATTTTAAATTTTCTTTCCATTGTAACTGTAGAACAAATAATTTTGAGATATTCATATTCCGATAATTTGGCATTTGAAACTTAAGTGTTTATCAAATGGGGATCAAGTCATCTGATACTTGGGGGGGAGGGGGTGGGGGCTTGATAAACTGCCGAGGTGGGGAGTATTTTAAAATTCAATATTATTTTTTGGTTGCAGCTTAGGATGCTTTTCATTTCACTGATTGTTTTGTGGGATAATAACATCAATTTTGATACTCTTTGAAACCACACTTGTGAAAATTAATTCCAAATTGAACTGAAAACTGTCTGATCACCTTTACTAACAATTGAGTACTCCCTATTCAAAAGAAAATACTGAGCCTCTCAGAAGGCATTGATCTATTAAACAGTCTCAGTGGATACTTGATCCCATATGTTGCCAGAAACTTCAAATGCCGAAATGTAGGATATTAATATTTCTAAAAGCCAAGTGCTTGTAATTTGCCGGCAGACTGTTTGTCTTACAAACAAATTATATATTTTGTCTTGTACAGTTGCTATAATACAAAAGAATCATAAACAATTACTTATTTTTAGGATTTTAGGTAGTTTGAAATAGCAAAAATTGTATCGATAGATGCTTATTGATTGGCCCAGGGGCTATCACACATACTTTATTATTATGAGAAACTAGTACTAGAGAGAAAACACAAATATAAAAAAAGTTTATCAATCAAATTTCATTCTGGATGCTGAAATTCAATTCGAGTCTCCTACAAAGAAAAGTCCTGGAAAAGGTTATTTATTTAAGGGTTAAAGGGGAAAGGCTTACCAAAACTATAACCCATTTTACTTGTCTCTGATTGGTTGACTCAGAACCTAATTGATAAATTAAGGCAAAAGAGCGGCGTATAAGTCAGCTGGCACTCTATTGTTGCATGATGTAGCATGCCATGTCAAACTTAATGTTTTTGCCATACCAAACTAAAACTGCTGGACTGAACTGATTCATACACAACTCTTTTGCCATATTTAATCCATTAATTACATTTCGCACAACAGGCAATATTTAGTTTGGCATACAGTATTAAGTTTACTATCTGAATCAGTCTGTAGCTTGAACCAATGAATCTAATTGTCTTACCACTAAGGTTTTTTGTAGATGAGTTGAGCAGCCCATGGAACAGACCTCATTTAGTTAAAATATATGTCTAATTTCTCTCTTTCCAGACATAGTTTTCATTTAGTCATGCCAATAATTATGCCTCAAAAATCCTGGTGATTTAACTGTTATATATTCATTTGAATGGATCTACAATTTAATAGATGGTTTGTTATTGTAGAATGAAGATAGTGGGAAGACTTGATTTACAAAGCTGAATCAGTTGAACCCTGCCCCATCAACCACCTGAAGAAAATAACTAATTTCAGGTGAAATATAAGAGAAAAGTATTGAAATGATCAAATAGTCATAATGAACTTACAATCATGTTATTACACCACTACATATTTGACTTGCAGGGTAACCATACTACAGATCCAAATTGGTTTCCATTTTCAGTTTACTACTACAGAAATCAATCAATTCATAAATGTTTTTGTTTTGTTTATAGCTCTTCCCAGTCACAAACACGATATTGTACAATTTGCTGTCACGACAAAGTAGGTTTTGGTGGATGTCAATCAAGATATTTCCACAACATTCCATAGGCACATGTCCTTGAAAACTTTGTGTTTTCTGACATTGTCATGGAAACACTTTGATTGATGTCCACCAATAAAAAAACCTATTTTATCATGACAGATTTTACAATAGGCCTTTCCCAAATTCGCTTGACTGATCACGAAGCAATGGTGTCAAGTCGAGGTTGAACTTGATGAATAAAAGAATCAAGTTCAGTCTCGAATTGAAACCATTGTTTCATGGTCATCCAAGTGAATTCAGGAAAGGTCTATTCTGCTTGTGATTGGAAAGTTTTGTAACTTCATAGAAAGATTCAAATTCAAATTATTTTATTGTAGAGTTGTATTTGCTTCTTTATCAATTTTAAATGTACTATACATTGGAAGCATTATTTGGTATTTGGCTTTTGGTTGTTAATTGAGATGTTGATCTTTTTATTCTTGTAACTCTAGTTTAGCATCAAAACTGTGTGATTATATGTAAAGCATGTTATGTTACTTGGGCAAATATATAAATGTACATGTACAGAACTGGATTTGACCAATAAAATTTATATCTCAGTATATTTGTTTTTAAATTTTGTACAACTGACAATTTATACTTTATCAATTTTAATTCCTCTAAACATTAGACTTAGGAAGTATGGGGGAAACTGTGTTCATATAATGAAGCCATGCATTGCGGCTTGAGATGTATCTATATGATAAACACATTTATACACAGAGTCAATAGATGTTAGACATGCACCACAATGAGGCTTGAGATGTATCTGCATATGATATGCACATTTATACTAAGGGTTTACACTCGGGGGGGGGGGGGGTACTCCGCCAGAATTTGGGTAGGGGTGTTTTGCTGGGATTCTGAAAGGGGTACCCTGTTTATGACAAAAAAAAATCAAATTTGTAGACTCTGTTTGTGATAAAAGATATAATTAATTGCACTGAGTTCCTGTGGCAATTATCATGTCATCTCAAGTATCTTTTTTTTTTATGACCATAACCAGTTTCAGTCAATACTAAAGTAGAAACCCTGAATATGACGAAACTCAGGAAGAATTTGGACCTTGAGTGAAATTCCATACCCTGTTTATGATGAAGCTCAAGAAACCATACCCAGGGGATCATCCCTGTGTAGTCCATATATGGGAGTACCCCCCCCCCCAGGGGTTTATAGATGTTAGACATGCACCACAATGAGGCTTGAGATGAATCTGGGTTTGTTTGATGTATTGTTCTCGCCTGGGTTTTTTTTCCTTTTTTTCTTCAGGTTTTGTGAGAGTAGTTTTCATAGAATATTTCATGTGGTGGTGTGTGTGTGAGTGACAGAGGTTTAAAATTGGAAACCAGGATATATATACTTTACTTGTATCCCTATAAGAATTATCCCTATCTATAAATATAGTTATTTATTTCACACTTATCACCACAATACAATAATTGATTTGAACATATAAAACTAGAATTATCAATTTCATTGAATAATTATTGAAAATACTTTAATTGAACGATCAGGGTAGAAAGGACGAAAAGAGGAAAGAAAGTAAGAATTGCGTAAAATGATAAAATTATTATTTCAAATCAAAATTTCAGTGTTTCTTCACATTTTGAAAAGCATGATTTTAACAAACTTTAAATGACTTAATGATCACAAAGCACAGCAAAAGAAAAATTGGTCATATATGACTCTATACCTTAATACCTATCTCATATGATCTGCCAGATAAATAGCCCCAATGGTTTGAGTTTGGATTAGTTCAGAAAGTTAATGTTAAAAGTCTAATAATTTGTCTGGAGATCAACAGTAACTTTGGTAGGTGTTCATTATAAAGTTAGGTCATTGACTTGTGAGTTAAAAACCATAAAAGGGAACAAGGTTTTTCATCAAAACCAGTTCAGCTTTTGAGCAAGAATAAAAGGATCTTCATTCACAATAGCACTGCCATAAATCCTCATGCTACAAACATCTGATGAAGTACCTTTATTGAAATCACCCCTGTCAACTAAGTGTGCAATATAAGGCATCCTGTCTTCACTCCCCATCTTCTGGAGCTTAGGGCATGAAGTCAGAGGTGGTCTCTGCTTCCCATTTTCAAGTGGAGGAAACTGAATGCAGACATTGAAATACTGGGAATCAAAATCGTTAACCAACACATGCACAGCCTTGAAGACAGCCAGCTTAAAATCATCATTAAAATCCCAGCAGATAACCTTCAACTCATAACCACAGTATGGGACAGCATGAATTATTATCCATGCACTGCCACACTGCTGTGCCAGGTTAAGAGTGCAATGTGCTTCCACCAAATCATTAAAATAATTTCTGCCAGGATACTCTTGGGAGTAAAGCTGTGAAATCTGTTTCAGACGCTCCCAGTGGCCATAATGAAATTCCTCTGCAAGTTCCATGTGAGCATGTCCATGGTGTTGGGAGGCTCCTGCACGTGACCGACAGTTCCAGGAGATGTTTGGGTAGATAAAGTTAGGATGTTCTTTGTGTGCCATTTCAAACCACTGAGCAGAAAGGTTAAGCATATCAAATATTTTTGCCTAAAAGCATAAGAATAAAGGGAGAGCACTATTGAGAACACATTTTCACTTTTCAGTTTCATTTCATTTTCAAAACAAATGCTCAAGCTAATGAGATCTATTGCTGCGATTTTCATAACCATGCAAACTCTGTCTCCAAGTTGCACGCTGAAATTTGGTTTTTCGCTGCTGCCAGTCAAAAATATGAGACGTACCGACTGATTAGGTTTGATTGACAGCAGCGAATAACCAAATTTCAGCATGCAGCTCACAGACACAGAGTTTGCATGTTTATGAAAATAGCAGGAAGTCCAGCTTACATCACATAGCTTGTAGTGTGTTACCAGTTTTTTATTTTATGCTCAGAAAGGCAAGTAGTAGTGGAGATAAATTGAAAAATAATTTTACCTCTGTGATATTACTTGGTGAATGCTCTTTAAAGACAATCATCGTATGAAGAGCATCATACTTTGCAACATTGGAGGCTGTTAGAGCAGAGTTATTTTCCAGGCGTCCAAAGGTATCTAAATCAAATTACAGAATCAATACTAATGTTCAGGCAGTAGTAGAGAAGATCACTTTCATTTGTAACAGTTCACTGGAATTAGATGAAATGCACCAAGTGGAGAGAGAAACCCATTTAATTGTCCAGATCACTGGGAAGAGATGAAATGTACAAATGAAAAACCATTGAAATGTAACAGATCACTGCAAAGTTGAAATGCACCAAGAGAAAACCATTTAAATGTAACAGATCACTGCAATTAGATGAGAAATAATTTAATTGTAACATTACTGCAATTAGATGAAATGCACTATGAGAAAACCATTTAAATGTAACAGACCACTGCAATTAGATGAAATGAACCATTTAAATGTAACAGACCACTGCAATTAGATGAAATGAACCATGAGA